TAAAAATTAGAATTGTATGATAAAAATGCTAAAATGTTACAAAAATAGAGATGATATTAATGCAAAAGTACTGTCGTACGTAGCATACAAATGAATTTTATATTATTTGAAAAAGAGCATAAAAACTAAATAACATCGAATCTAAATATATATATGTCAATATAGCACAAAAAAGTATGCTATGTTAACGCTTATCATAACTTTAGGTTTCTATTCAATGTTTTTCAAAAATATTGACTAAATTAAATCGCCGCAAGTCATACATTAAATTGTTAATAACGTCCGAAATACTATTCAAAGTTGTTATTGATGTTAATTTTTGATTAGAATATTTCCAATATTTAAGCTTGTTAAATATGTTTTTCGCCATTTAAACAAATAAAGTTTAGAAACCTTTAAATTATAAGGGATAATTTTAAAAAGTAATTATTAGCTGATAAAGCAAGAATTAGTTACAATGTAGCTAAAATAAATCAAAAATTATTTTTCCAATATTTTATTTATTTTGCGAAAAATCGAGAGGTTTATGATAAACCAATCATTCTGTATAATTATTAGGACTATATTAACCATCATAAAATATAGTTTTATTAACTTTTAATATATAGTTTTATTGTAGTCAATAAATTTGAAAATCCGAAGTTATAGAGTTAATTAATATATACTTATATAGATATAAGTAAATACTATTTATTCTATATTCTCATATTGCAAATAAAATACGTCATATCTTATAATTATGAATTAAGACAACTTAAACAAATTTAGTAACAGTAATAAATCCAATTAAATTTGGGTTATGCATGTAACCATGCCTTAAATATTCTACTATATTATGATTATATTACTGTATTATGAACTCAAAATAGTCATAATGGATATAGTGGTATTATTACTTTACATAATAATTTCAGCGATCATATTCTGTCGAAAGTTTAAAATTCTGAGGGAATAATGTATGTGAAAATGTATTACTATGAAAATTTAATGCTAAAACTATTTAAATTATCCACAACAGAATTATTTATGTTTTTCTTAAATAAATTTAAAAACAAAATATTTTACACTCGATAATTTATCATTTTTTATCGTCAAAAATAGTAATACCTTAATAAATATATTATTTTAACTTAGTCTAAAAATTACAATACTTTAATTTATATTAAGTTTATATTATTAACTCTTAAAAGTAAAAATCGAAGTACAACAATCAATTGTTAATAAAAAATATTAACTGAAATAAATATATTATAATATTAATATAATAATATATTTATAATAATCATTATAATATCATTCATTATCAGAAATTACATAAACGGTTGTAGAAAAATAATTTTTATATTTTATTATTTGTTTACGATCAGAATAAAAATAAATTAAGCAAGACTTTATTGGGTTATACATAACTAGAAATAAAATATTAATCATTAAAAAATATAAAAATTGTAATTTTTAAGTAATTCCTCTTAAAAATAGGAGATATAAAAGATTTTTTTCACAAAACAAGAAAAATACCTGTAAAAAGTAAAAGATTAAATAGATATTTTATTACAAAAGGTAAAACTAATTTGCAATGAATATAATAATAACTAAAATATTAACTTTCATAAATTTCAACTTAATTTCATCTAAACTTTTAAATGCATCCTTTAAGGATATATGACAATTAGATAATGGATACATAAAAGAACGTAAGGAAGTGAAGAAGTAAAATAGGAAAATATTTTATAATAATACACGCTGGAAAAGTAATCAGAAAACGCATTCACTATTTATTCTTCGCTAATAAAGATATGATAATTATGCTGCATAGAATTTTTATATACAATTAGAATTATTTTTAAAAGAAATAAATTTTGAAAAAATGTAGGACAGAGATATTGAATATCGAACGGAATTCAAATAAAATAAAATAATCAAGCTTGGTTTGTCTTTTACATTGAACATGTATAATAAAAATATATAATAATCTAAGGGATTTCTGTAACTTTATACATTTTATTTGTGATATTTATATGATATCTAATACCTTCATATGCAAAATTATCACTAACGTTGCTTTTATTAATCGATTGTGTTAATCATTATATTATATTTGATATATTTATTGCATTGACATATATATTTCTTAGAATTGCTTAAAAATTCACACAATCATATACATTTAAATCTATGACTAATGGATTATAAATGGTACATATAAGTTATAACAGACTAACAGCTACTAGTTATTTTTGTATAATCATTGATCAATAAATCAAGATTACGTATACTTCTATAGATTAAAAATATAAATCATGTGTTAAACTTTTTTAGAAATAGTATCATCTAAAAATTTTGTGTCAGTGAGTGTAATTTATCAAGTACTTAAATCTTTCCTCTAAAACTTTAAGCTATGTCATTATAGCTCAATGATTTTTAGAAAAAAAAAATTTCAGTTTTACTTTCTCATCAAAAATCAAATAAATGATACAGTTTTTAAATAATAATATTTTAAATTTTATCGTATTAAGTGTATTGCGAATTACATGCTTAAAAATTATAAATTCAATGATAAATAAAAAAAAAATTGTTTATAAATTTATAAGCATTCAGTTCAAACATTTTATCTATAAAAATATATATATATATATATATATTACAAAATTATTTATAAAACTAAACACATTTGTATTTTAAAAATACAAAAGTTGTATAAAAAATAGTTATAGCGAAATTTTAATTGTTTTAAAAAGTTATTAAAGTTGTCAGTTGGATCTGTTCCCTTCTGTATAAATATGAATTATTGATACATTCTCTGGCATTATATGAGGTGTCAAATTCTAGATCGTTATTGTACGTGTTAACACTAAAACATGCAGCACATGGTCCTCAAATAAAGAACATATTTATTTTATTACGCCAAGCAATAAATTTGGTACGATCGTCGTACTTTTTCATTGGAAAAGTTTATTTTTCCTTATAGATAGATGTCAATACAATAAATATGCTTCTATTTCTAAATTAAATCTAATTTGTTATTTTAGAAATACATCACATTTTTATTTTACAATTCGATAAACGTAAGATACATAAATTATATTTTTTGTATGATAAAAATCAAATACTAAAAATCTAACAAAATTTTTATGTATACATACAAGGTGGCTTACATGCTTTCTGACAACGCTTATAACATATGACCCAATTAACATTTTACTAAAACTTTTTTTACGTTCAAAGCATTTTTTTTTTTTAATCGTTATAAATTAGATCTGAGACATGCTGAATAAACAATTTGTTTGGGACACCCCCCCAAAGTTGTGTACTATAATATAATAAAAATTGTAAATTATACAAAATTCAATTATTTTAGTAAAAGTTCAGCTCGATTTGAGCATACGAATTTTTTTAAATATTTTGTAGATTATTGAATAGTTTTTCATGCGTAAAAAGCACTTTATATTAACATAAATATGAAATGATCTACAAACGCATACGTATCCCAAGAGTAAAAAACGTACAAATTATGTATTGAATTTCGTTTGATAATAATGATCCTAAAATTCCCATACGTCAATATGATATTTTTAATATACGCTTTAATTTTACACATAAGTAGTATAATTTTGACGATAAATATCAGAAATTCGTACACAAATATAACATTTTTATCACTACCAATCCAAATCTTTCCTGACATTGTATACATTAAAAACTTCTAATACATATATTTATGAAAAATTTGTGCATTTATTTTAAAGAGTGAATGATACCGTCTATGCATGAAATAATATACAACATGATTTGATTTTACTGAATAAACTCAAGTGCAGTAAGAAAATAACACGAAGTTTGTCTGATATGTATACAAAATATAATTAGAATACTTCAGCTTGTTATAACAATTCATTTTTAATTTATGATCAATATATTTTATTATTTCATTGAATCATATTGTTATATTAATAGAAACTTATATGATAGAGGTGTTCACAATGGACCAACAAGGCATGGGCATTATGTCCACCTCAATAATAACTAAAACTAAAATTAAAAACTTATATAATAAGAAATAAAACGTTCAAGTTAGAATAATATTAACTTATTAAGTATATAATTCAGTACATTGTAATATGTATAAATGTTATTATATGCAAAGGTGGGCAATAACTAGTTAAATAATTGTCCCCTATCCTAAATATTATATTTATTTAACAATAAATATAATTTTTTGAGATGGGATTTTTGAACTTGAAGGTTATTTACACTAGTGTTGTTCATTATAAATTAGAAAATCCAATATATATATGTGTGTGTGTGTGTGTGTGTGATTTTAACTAATTTCTTTTAAATAAATAATCTTAAAAGTAGAAACAATATAAAATTTACAATATGAATAAAAAAAATGTTGTGTATTTTAAAATATATTTTGTCATTAATATTTTCTTCCTATTTAGTTTTAAAATTAGAAAAATCGATTCTTAGCTTTTCCTCGCATCAACGACCAATAAAAAATTATTTTTGGCCAAAAATTTCAATTTTAAATGAAATAAACTTTTTTTAAGCTAGATAAGTTAAAAAAATAATTATCTTTTAGCTTGGCTAGTTAAATTTATAATTTTGTAATTTTTAACTGTTAATTTATCGATATTGTTAATACTTAACCTTAATTGAGTTAATTATTTCCATTAACCTGCCCATTTTTGATTGCATGTATATGTAATTAATATACATATTAAAATAAACAAGGTTAGGATGTTATTATTACATAATAAATAATAAATTGTAACACATGTTGTAATAGTACAATATCCAATACGTTTAGTATTTTCTATGAACTTAACTGTTTATTTAAATTAAGTACTACGATAAATAGTTAAAGATACATTTGCCATAGAAAATAAAATAAAATTAGTTACATTGAATCTAAGATTTAAATACCATTTAGTGATAGATTTTTATCGACCTAAATGAATATCGAAATTAACAATCGTACAACGTTTTTTATTTTATAGCAACATCTATAATTACACAATGGAAGATCGAGTAAACGAAAACTTGCTGAGGAATTGCACAATGATGGTACTCTCAATAGAATTTGGTCAGTCGACTTCAGAACTCGAGTCGTCAAATTCTTCCACACTTTTGGGTATCTTAGGAACCACATTAAACACTGCTGAATTGACTATGCCTAAACGAACAATGGCTAAGGATCGACTACATGATTGTATATATCCTATTTCAGAACCATCACATAGTTTTAGCTGGTGGCATAAGCTTACATGGATAACGCTTTTTATAGCTATGTTAACCGTAGCTATTTTAGGAAACTTGATAGTCATATGGATCGTTGCAGGTTAGTTAATTTCATAACAATAAATAAAAAAGTTATTTGGTAACATATTTTTGTTCTTCAAAGTTTAATACAATTACAAAATTTCTCTCAATTTCTCTAGTTGTATACGTGAACAATATATGTATTCCGTATTTTGGGTGTCCTGGGTCAAAACTCCTCGATACCAATAAAATTTTAAAAAGTTGCCAATTATTATACCAGTCACGCAACCATAATTATTTTATGGCGAATATATTTTCAAATAATTTAGAAATAAATTACAATAGTTAGTTGAAATAAGATTAATTAGATGTTACGCGATTGTATTGTATGTGTCCACTACTGTCACCTCGCATCTTTCCTAACGGTATTCTGTAAGATTATATATGTTTATGTTGTTGGCTCTGTGTTTCTATGTCTATAATATAAACTAATTCTGATCTCGTTGTTAAATTCTGTTCGTCGAACCAAGAAATACGTATAAAACATGATCGTATCACCCATTCCATGCGAAATTTTCAAAACTTCCTTCAAAAATGTTTTGAGAACATGCTACTGATTTTATTATATAACCAATGGCAATCATATTATAATCTTTCTTTATTATTTTATAGTAATGTTTATATAAACCTTCGAAATAAAATAAACAATTTAAAATTTTTAAGACTGGTCACAATTTATGTGGTGCCTTAAAACACTAACATCTAGTAGTTCACATTAGTCTAATCTTTTTCATTGTTGAATCATTTTCAGTGACAACTCATATTTTATAGACGTGTATAAACGGAATATAAAACATAAAAATTAATAATAACATATAATATTTATATTATACGATTATTATATTATAATCATTATTATTTTTATACATCAATGTTTTAGAAGTAAAAGTCATATTGATAATTCAGTTAGAATTAGAGTATTTAGCATGTATTTATTCAGAGTACATTAATTAACTGAAAATGTCAATTACGAAAATAATTCACCTAGTTAGTAGTCCAATAAATTTATTTGATAAATTAATTATCAATAACGCGTAAACTATATAAAAACTGTGATTAACGTATAAAACACTTTTAACCAAAATGTAATTTGAAAATAGGCCAAAGTAAATTATTTATCATTTTGTTAGTCGCAAATCAATTATAACTTATTTTAAACGTTACTCATTATTGGGAACGAAGATAATTATTTAAAAAATGCAGATTTTCTGAAATATAATCAAAAATTAATAAGCAAACAATTGAAATTGTTGGAATAAATGAGAAAATATCTCCCCATTTACAGGAAATAAAAGTATATTTTTTCAAACGTTAAGTATAATATTTTCGTTAAATGAAATTTGAATCTTTTAACGCATTGATAAGCAAAAAAAGATTGTCACTAATAGTTTTTCATAAAAATACCTAATAAAATTAGTATCATTTTCAGTTTCACATCAATTACAGTCGTGATATAGAGTAGTAGATTTTTTTTTATATTCAAGTATTGAATTGATATCTGACAGTGATTAAAATCACTGTCATAAAACGCTCCGATGCATCTTTGAAACAAATTAAAAATAGTTAGAGCTATATAAAAAAAACTATCTTATTTACTAAAAATTACATGATTATCGTTATTATAACAGATCGATAAAATAGAAGACATATCTTTGAATGATGTAGATGTTCCATAGCTATACAAAAAAATTTAAAGATCGATTAATTTTAACAAATCTTATAATTTTTGTTTTTTAGGTCCAATAAATCCTAAAAATCGTGATTTCGGTTATTTTTCTTTTTTCATCTTAAAAAACATTATATTAGCTTTAATTTAATTCAAATTTATAGAGGGTAGGTTTTTTGAAACATTATCGAAAATTGAAATGAAAAATATTTTAATATGATTTTTAAACCCCCACAGTACCTTGAATATTGATGGGATTTTCAAAAAAAATTATATCGACAGCTAGCCAAATATTTAAAGTATTAAACATTTTGCAATAATTCGCCCAGTATTCAGTATAAAGTGAACGAAAAATATCAATATTGACTGTTTTATAACAGTTAATTTATTGTAACATTACTTTTAATTACGAACATTAACGACAACTGCTCGTATTATTCTGTTGATAACTAAATACGTTTTGTGATCTTTTGACATATCATTGAACAAAATCAGTCCTGTAGGAGCGGTGTAATCTTGTAAAGTGACACATAAAACACAGCAAAGTAAAACCATAAGCTTTTCAGCAACATAAGTCGATGGTTAAACTCCATGAAGTTAAATATCTATTACCATTTTAGTTGCATCATTCTACACATCTTAGTAAAATGTGTTACAAGTATTGTTAAAAACATAAAATATATATTCACAAAAATTATGTGAAGAAATCTGTTAAATATTTAACTGTTCCAAGTTTAACTACCACCTCTAGTTGGCTCGTTTGATGGTATACATCGAAACTAAAGTTCCTAACAAACATTTAACAATATTGCGCTTATAATAAAAAACAATTAAAAGTTATAATGATTTAAATTTTAATGTATATTATGGTGCAGTAAAAACTTCTTTTTCATATGACATTAAAAAAAAAATTATTGTTTTTATAATGAATAATTTATAATTCAGATATTTTTTTACTAATAATCATTGAGCCTTATACTTTTTATAAAACAAGTAGCGTAATTCAATGTCGTTAATATACACTAAAATATATAAATGATGATGATCATGTACAGTTTTCATTCAATCCTTAATAAGAAACAACTGTTAACAATAACTAAATTATTCATAGATGAGCAAACGTTAAAATACTAATTATTCTATCAAAAACCTAATACATACCTTAAAATAAAAATAAATGTATAAATAATTATAATTTTAATAATGAAATTATTTTACGTTAAACCATTAAAAATATTTTTAATATAGTCAACGTGACGTTATTTAATGAAAAAAGTTGTTTAATTTAAAAGTAAATAAACATATTATTTTGATGTTAATATTTCCGTAAAGATTTTGACTTATTAGCAAAAATAATAAGTTTATTAAAAATTATCAATAAAATAATTAAGGTAAATTATTTATTAATTTTTTATTTCTATAAATGGTAAAAAAATATGAAAGTACAATTTTGATATTATAAAACTCGTAAAACTATTTAAGCAAATTTTTATTGTTACTTTAATAAACATTAAATATACTAAAAATTAATCACAAATAGGTTAACGTTTAATAAATAGTAAAAATGCTAAATACAAAACATAAATAAATATATATAATTCACTTTTATTGTTTTTATAAACTGTCATCCTAAATTATTTATGAGAATTATTTGTGATGTACAATACAGAAACATTTCTAATGTTTATGTATGGTCTAATGAAAGCCAACAATAGTCCATTAAGTTTTTGACAGTTTTTCAGAATAAAATTAATACATTTATCATCAGAAATAGTTTTATTTAGTTTACTTGAAGTCTAGTTGCTAGAAACTAGACAAAACCACTTATTTCAGAATTTATTAGATAAATTATTATTTTCAAAAAAAATTTTACTGACCAAAGATACAACATTTTTATTTAAATAAATGACATTTCAATAAAAATTTTAATTTTACCATGTTATAAAGAAAATTATATTTATTGTGGTGTTGTGTCATAACAATACGGGTTCGTAACAATGGTCATAATTTAAACATTTCTTACAAAAAAAAACACTGAAAATATTTGAATTATTATTTTAGGAATGTTGAAAATTTATTTTTTTGTGACTACTATAACTCCTTCATATAGTTTCCAATAGGCCCCTCCACAAAAGTATTCATCATTGAGAGCGAGGGTTTCTTCATTATTTCGCACACAAGTGGGGGTATCATCCCTTTACACTAAGGGATATAGAAGACCTTAAGATCCCATAGATAATTTGCCCCCAATATTGAAAAGTAATCTGGCGCTTCCGGCTAATCTGAAATGAAAACGACAAATATACAGAACGATTCCTTAACTAGACTTCACGAATTATCTTTAAAAAATATTAAAGCTAATCATTATTTTACTTTTTTAACAATAATAGTTCTTCGTTTATCTTCTTTCAACAAAAAAAAAATTTTCGCTACTATTCCTTACACCCTAAACTCATGTCCACTCTCGATATTCAAATGACAACAGCATTTATTTATATCATCAGATTTATTCAATTGAAAAATAAAATGTTTGTTTAAAAAATCTTTTTGTATTATTATAGATTTTTAATGAGTTACAGTTGTTTGACGCTTAAAGACAATCAGAAAAAAAGTTTTTTTTTTAAATACGGCACTTTATTGTACTATAAATTAATAAATTCTACCAATTCATAACACGATTGGGTGTACAATTTATTGTATTTTTTTGAACCGATAACGTTTAAAAATATTCGCCATGATAATGTAATTAAAGAACCATCTAGTTTTAAAAGGACTGACTAAAATCAATTAACAGAACTGTTTACAACGACTTATAATCGAATGAATTATATACTCTAAAATATAAGCATATAATATTCTGAAAAATCTCACTTTTGGGATGATAATCTTTAAAAGGTAAAATTTTATAAATAAGAATTTTTATAAGAAAATTCGTGATATTTCACTGTTACAACTCGTATTTTATGTATGCATAAGGGTTTATAGGGAATAGACCCCTCGCATGATAAAATTAATTTATGGTGAAGACATGTTTTGGAGATAAAAAAAATTCTTTTATATAACGATCTTCAATAAATAAAACTCTGAAGACACTGCCATAAGTGTGGAGAATTTTTATGATTTTTATAGCATTTCAGGTGCAGAGGCGGTCAAATGGTTTTATCATGCAGAATGAAAAACCTTTATGATAAATTTCAACATGGGAGTTGTTCTTTAGTTAGTGCTTTTTTATTTGTATTACTATATCAAGATATTATTAAGGACTATTAGATATACATAAGTTTGATTCTTCTTATTAAACCTATTTTAAATATTTAATTTATTTATAGAATAGTACACCACGCTGAATTTAC